GGATGTTAGCGAAAATAAATTATTGCCGCGTTTTTAATTTTTAACCCGTTCCGGCCGTTTTTTTTTTTTTTTTTTTTTCTTTTCTTTCGGAACTCTTGTTTGCTTGTTTGTCTGTTTGTTTGTTTGCCATGCGTTTCAACATCCCCTGTCTCGACGCTTCGTTTTTTCATTTCGCATACCCGCTCGCTGTGTATACCCTCTCTTTCATCGACAGGAACGCGTCCGCGCCCACCTTGGATATATATTCAATTCCTTATTCGCTAGAAACGACACGCTACGCGTATATGTGTGTGTGTATGTATATATATATATATGTTGTATGTATATTTATATATGTAGATATATATATATATATATATAGCTAGGCTCTATATTTTCGTTTTCACGCTAAATCAAAAAATAGGTCGGCAACGTTGATTGAATCTGATCTTCGACGTGTGCAATTCCGTATTCTCCTACGAGAGAGAGCCACTCCGCGAGACGACGAACGAGCAGATATTAGAAACGAAATCAAGACGCGCGAGACTCCCCGGAAGGAAAGATCCTCGAAGGATCGCGAAGAAGAAGAAGAAGAAGAAGAAGAAGAAAGTAGATGGCGCGTTCCCGTTCGAAAAAGAGGACGCAGAGGACTCAGAAGAAAAAGAAGAAGAAGAAGAAGAAGAAGAAGAAGAAGAAGGAACCAGAACGTTCGTGGAGACACGGAGTAAAAGAGAAAAAAAAAGAAAAAAAAACAAGAGACATCTCGCCTCCCCCCCACCCCGCAGCCGTGCCCTCTCGTTCCAAGAAAACGAACAAACCTGGTTGTCCTCCACGTTTACGAGGTCTTCATCTTTTTGTACGGTTGCATGATGACGCCGGAGCTGACCGGGATGGCGACCTGCGGTTGCGCCGCGATGGTCGCCGGGTTCGGGATCTGCGGTATCTGCGGGACACCGGGTACACCGGCGGCCGCGACGCCGGCCGCGACGCCAGGCATGCTGGCGACACCCGGTAGAACGGTGTAAGGATTCTGCACCGCGTAAGGATTGCCCTGGACGGCGGCGCCGGGCACCGAGGGTATCGACGCCTGGACCGCGTAGGGATTCGGCAGGATCTGTTGCCTCATCAGCGAGTACGGGTTGATGGGTGCGCCGGTGGGCGGTCGTGAGTAGGCGAGGATTCCAGCGGATAACGGGGACGTGAGGGCGCTGGGGATGCCGGCGAGGTTCGGTATCACCGGCCTCGGTGTGGCGGCTGTCGCCGGCAATCCAGCGACCGCCTGTGTGCCGGCGGCGGCGGCGGCCGCTGCTGCCGCCGGGTTCACCAGCGCCTGTTTGTTCAGGGCGACGCCGGTGTAGTTGAGCGCGGTGAGCTGATTGATACCGTAGGAGGCCTGCGACGCCTGCGACAGCTTGATCGCTTTCGCGTAATTCTTCTGGGCGACCTCTTTCGCGAGGGCGGCCGGGTCGAGGTGCGTGGGCAGTCCGGTGGCCGCCATGCCCAGGCTGTTGAGCATGTTCAAGCCGGCGACGCTCGAGGCGTTGTAATTTGACACCATGCTCGTGACCGACGGCACGTTCGTCATCGAGGCCATCGAGGCCATGTTGACGACGCCTGGCATCGACGTGAGACCAGCGACCGAGGTCAGCGGGCTCATCGCCGGCTGCACGCTGGCGGCTGACAGCGCCAATTGGTTCTGCAGCTGTTGCTGTTGCTGCAATTGGTGTTGTTGCTGCTGTTGTTGCTGATGCTGTTGTTGTTGTTGCTGTTGTTGCTGTTGATGCTGCTGCGCCTGTTGATGTTGATGTTGCTGATGCTGGTGTTGATGCTGGTGCTGATGCTGATGCTGGTGCTGATGTTGCTGCTGTTGTTGATGTTGATGCTGTTGTTGTTGTTGTTGTTGCTGCTGTTGCTGATGCTGCTGTTGCTGTTGCGAAATCGTCGATGGACTCGCGTGATTCAATTCGGGGGAGTTATGCGCGTTTTCCGACGCGTCGTGATTCTGCGTGGCATTCGGCTGCTTGTTACTGCCGCTACTGCTATTGTTACTGTTATTGTCGGCGGTCGGAGGTGGTGGCGGTGGGTTGTTGCAGGGATCCATCAGCACGCCATTGTTGGCGTCGGCGCAGTTATTCACTGTGGCGCCGCCGGTTCCCTGGGAGGAGGAGGAGGACTGAACCACCACCGCGTGGTGGTTGCTTTGCACGTTCGGGGGTTGCACGACCGATTGGTTAGAGGTTTGGGTGGGTAGGGGTGGTGTTCCAGTGTACTCACATGACACAGGCACGAACGGCTGCTGCAGCTGCATTAACTGTTGATAGGTCGTCGCGCCGGTCGGCTGATAGACCGGCATGCCGGACTTGTCGCCCGCCGGTCGTTTATACGGAACCATTCCTGGGAAGGCCTGTAAAACAGAATCGCGGAGAACGATTGCGATTAGGCTGATGTAATGACGTTTGTCGTTCGTTGGTTGAGGGGGGGAGGGGGGGAGGCGGGAAGGGGGAGGGTGAAGGCTTCCGGATGGCGCAACACGAAGAAACGTCGTCTCGTTCGACGACTTTTTTTTTCTTCTTACTCTTTCGTTTTCATGGACAGAAAAAAAACAACAAAAAAAAAAAAAAAAGAACACGGAATTTCGAAATCGTGATAGCGATTGGGCAAATTAGGCACGACTTTGAGTGAACTCGGACTCGCGTTCGATGTCCGAGGCAAATTTTCAAGAGACAAGCGGCGGTATATACAGAGTTGAATTCGATCGATTTAACGCGCTCGAGTTAACGCATCGACAGACGGTGTACGGTGACAGACTTGTGCGTGAACTTACGGCTATAAATCGTATCGTTAGGTATCGTCGTTCTTTTTTTTTTTTTTTGTGTGTTTTTTTCGTATGATTCAGTGATTTAGATTACTGCACTTACAAAGTTCTCGTAGTAGAACGATCCGACAGACTTCATGTCCATCTGCAACAAAGACAGGATCGGTTTCAACTAATTTCGAGGAGGAGGTTGTACGTAGTTGCGTCTGTATTTATTGGACTTTCGAGGGAAGATGAGACACAGAAGAAGATAGAGGGGGAGAGGGAAAAGGTGGAAATTGGGTATCTCGGAGAAACAGAATCAGGCATAGTCAATCGTCGGATGGATACAACACGACAAAAGTAGGTAACAGCAGTGATACTAATAGTACTAATGGTAACAGTAGTTGGTTAGTAGTTAGTAGTAAATAGTGGTGGTAGTAGTGTGTAAAAGTTGTGCCGATGACGCAGCTTGCGGCGACGTTCCTAAACGACGACGACGACGACGACGACGACGACGACGACGACGACGACGACGGCGACGACGACGACGACGACAATCGTTGGTTGGATAACTGTAAAATTCTCGTTTCTGTTTTGCTCTTTTTTCTTTCTCGTTTCGTTCGCTTTTTTTTTTCCTTTTTTTCGTTCGTTTCGGTTGATTCGCTATCTATCTTTTTTATCTATGTGTGTTTGTGTGTGTGTGTGTGTGTGTTTTTCATTACCATCTCGCAACGACATTCGTTTCTTTTCGTTTCTCTCGACAATGATGTCCCTGTCTCGAATCGATATCGAAGAAAGACGTGTCTGAAAGACCAGCCAGCTAGGAACGCATCGTGTCGCCGGGCCAATTAAGAGAGAAAGAGAGAAAGAGAGAAAGAGAAATAGAGAGAATCATTGGTCCTGCTTGAATTCAAAGAAAGTCAAAAATGACACGGACGATACTTGTTAACTTTGTTTTTTTTTTTTCTCCCTGTTTGAGCCTCGGGGAGCAACAGGAGACAAACAGACAGACAGACATAGACAGAGAGAGAGAGAGAGAGAGAAAGAGAGAGAGAGAGAAAGAGAAAAGGGAAAAGAGAAATTTGCTTTGTTGGTTGCTCGAACGAAAATCGAATCCTGCTTCGACCTTGTCACGTTCCCTCGGGATATCTGTACACAGTGTTGTAACGATAGATCGTTAAACGAAGAAGGATCGGAGGAAGAATCGGGGATCGTTCGATCGAAAGCTTCCTCCCTGAAAAGAAAAAAGGAAAAAGAAGAAAAGAAAGAAAAGGAAAGATATTTCGCTCTTTCCTTCGTTACAACGAGGAAACGGACTCGCGAAGAAAAAGCATCGAGCAGATACAAAACACGATGATATATACCGATGAATCGTCGATCATCGTTGGCGGACGAGAGGCAGCGAAACGAAATGAAAAAAAAAAAACATGTAGCGTCTCTTTTTTTCTTCTGTTCTTTCGTTTTCCAACGTGTTTCTTTCTTTTTTTCTTTTCTTTTTCGTTTTTTTTTTCCCCGTCTCTAGAAAGATTGAGTTAGAGAAGAAGAGAAAAAACAGAGAAGAAGCTGCACAGAGTTTCAGATGCAAAAGCTGAGTGAAGCTTGGTAAACGAGAGAGAGAGAGAGAGAGAGAGAGAAAAAAAAGAAAAAAAAGAGAATAGGTTCTTGTCGTTTTCGAAACAGAGGCGGCAACGAGCGTGAAATTGTTGAACTGTTTTTTGTTACGCGAGTACAAACGTTGCGTGTGTACATATCGATGCGAGAGAGAAAAGAAAAGTGTGAAAAAGAGAGAGAGAGAGAAAAAAAAGAAGATAGGTGCTCGCGAAACAACAGCCGGGACTCGGTGTGTGAGATCAACCAGATACATAGTACAAATCTCGGCGTGTAAAGAATGTAAATAGTGGCGGAAAGAGTTCTTTTGCCAGTCACAGAGAGAGAGAGAGAGAAAGAAAGAGAGAGAGAGAGAAAGAGAGAAGGGTTGGGAAACATGTCGCCAAGCTCAAGTGCAAGACACAAGTGGAACAACGTCTGTCCGTCCTTTCGTTACCTCAAAGTTTCTTCGTAAAGGAAAAAATCTGGGAATGAAAGAACAGAAAAAGAAAAAAAGAAAGGAAAAGGAAAAACGTCGACGAACGTCGCAGAAAGAAAGTTTGATACACGTTTGAAAAAGCGCGGACGAGAGTGGCTCCGAAGGTCGAGACCGTCGATTAAGAAAAAAAGGAGAAAGGTAAATAAAAAAAAAAAAAAAAAAAGAAAAAGTCAAAATAACACGACGAGAAAGACAGAATAAATGAGTAAAGGAAAATTACGAGAGAAACGTGAGAAAAGAGAGAGAGAGAGAGAGAGAGAGAGAGTAGCATAGAAAGTTGGCCTGTACGTGTACGTCAAGCATTCTACTGTGCTCTTAGCGAATTCGACGAATGTAATTGAATGAAAACGAAAGAAAGAAAGAATGAAAGAAAGAAACAAAAAGAGATCGGTCCACCTGCGAGCAACGTTTCGAGATTTGGAGAAAAGAAGAACGGAAAATAAGTTCACTCGGGGAAGAACAGTCGGAACACGGAACTTGTATATCGTAATGAACTTGTTTTTGTCGTTACTGCTGGACGTCGAATCAGTCTGTGAAATATTGTCCGCGTGTCGCGAGAAATGAAACGGAAAGAAAAGAAAAAAAAAAAAAAAGAAATGGGGAGAAAAGAAAAAAAAAAAAAAAAAAAAAAAAAAAGAAAGAAAGAAAACAGCAACTTTCCGAAAACGACAGAAAACGCGAATTTTTCTACTTATCATTCGGAGGAAAGAACCGACGTTGTTTATGATACGTCGACCATCGAACGTTCCCTTTCTCTTTTTTACGCGATTATTTATTTATTAGATACTACTAAGCTGTCCATACACTTGTTCTCAATGAATTAATAAAAAAAAAAAAAACAATAGAAAAATATGCAAACGCGTTTTAGTAGAGAGAAAAAAATACGATGGATAGAGAAATAGAAATAAGTATGAGGAAAAGAAAAAAAGGAAAGGGTACGAAAATAAGAAGAATAAGAGGTTTGACAGCATCCCTCGTTTATTTCTCCCTCACACTATCCTTAGAAGAAAAAAAAAAGAAACAAGGAGAATGACGAAAGAAAATAAGGAGACACAAGTGTTTAACAGCATCCGGATTTATTTCTTTCTTGCACAATATTATTCTTCTCTTATACCTTATTTCCTATGAATATCTGTTTCATATACATTTATTTGCATACAAAATGGCAGTAGTAAAGTACAGTTGACTGTACTCCTCTTAAAACGATCATAACGTTTGCATTTTAATTGAAAATCTGGGAAAAAACTGGCACGGAGTCTCAGTCGAATTGATTTGGTCCCACGATAAGTTCTTTTTCTTTTTTTTTTTTTTTTTTTGACACAGATCCAAGGAAAAGTAAGAGCGTTTTCTTTATCCTTGCTCCGCCAGTGAAGATATGGATATTCTCGATATTCCCCAGTCTTTCTAGTTTCACGCGAGACAGATTAAAGTTTTTCCTTCGTTCATCTTGTCCTGAACCTTGTCACTAGCTGTGGACTTCTCTGCTTGGCCACTTATCACTGCGCAAACGAACGTCAGTCCAACTCCTATTATGGCGCTATAGAAAGCCCAACCTGAAAGTTGTATAATACCTCTTTCAATTCCTTCGCGCGATAATAAATTAAAGTCTGCCTGCTATTAAAGATTAGAGTATCGTAAAGCTGCAAAGATTTAATTTTTATCACCTAGGGAGCATTCGGCGAGGTAGAAAGCGTCAGCTTCCGGTCCACAGATCCTCTGAACCCTTTCCGCGCCCCAGCCCGCGGGATACAAAATCATCCCGAGCAAGTAAAATATCCCTGTGAATAGAAAACAAAATAACATTGATAACTGAAGAAAAGAAAAAGGACTCGACGAAACGAAAAAAAAAATTTCAATTGCATTTGAAACATTACCAGCGATAACCTGTGCAACACCGGCCAAATTGAAGATGCTCTTTCTGCCGATGCTTTGCATACAGCAGCCGACCAAAGCCGCCAGCACCGTCGTCGACATGATCGCCAAGCCAAGAGACAAGAAGAAGTACGAGGCTTTCCAGCAGCCTGGAAACACGCTGGAATCCGTGGCGAAGCCGTCCAAGTTGAAATTCGCGCAGTGAGCCTTCTTACCGTGCAGCTTGATGCAGCGATTGAAAATCCCGACTGTTGGCACGTAAAACTCCGACCCGTTCTCTAACGATTGGAAATTAAATAGACAGAAATATCAATTCTTTATTCGTTCAGATTTCTGGAGTAGGAATAAATTCTGGAAAGATGCAAGTGAAAAGACTGCGAAATCCCATCGTGGTAAAACACGAGATATTAATATTCTAATCAAAAATGAATCGTGAAAATGTCCTTACCCATCTAATTATTATCAATAAGAATTTCAAAATTCTTTTCAATAACGATGTACAATATAATTGCGAATGTTTCTGTAATTTTATATTTTTACGAAGGCGATTAGAAAAGATGAAATGAGAGTAGAAGATCGTTTTAAATTGTGTATTAAATGAAAATATCATTTAAAATGAATGTTAGATGTCAAATAAATAATACGCGCACTTCCAAATTTTCTAACGGAAGCCCGACGGATGAACGTTACGACAATTAAACTTAATTTATTATTAACATTCTCACTAATATAAAAAGATACGAATCCTGCACACGTGCGGTTGGCAATTGCGAAGGGAATACCTCTGTGACTCACGTGCGCTAAGTACTTGGTTAAATATACGCACGTTTGAACGTTCGGCAGTATGCTAATGATTAAACAAGAGAAAATAGTTACTCGTGTCTTTTATTTGCGGTCCAATGAGCCATTTTGGAGTGATGAGCGCCGATAAAACTGCCATTAACGCCACCAGGGACAGCAACGTCCACAGTAAACTACGACCAGTGACTATCACATAGCACATGCTGCCGTTCGATTGTACATCTATGCCATCCTTCGAGCACTAATCTCCTCCTGCAACATTTTTCTCTTTAGAATAATTGTAAATATGTCGGCGGGGGAAAAGCAATATCCGTCAAAGAACTAATTTATATGGTAAATATACGAACTTTTACTGCTTCGATCGCCAGAGTTTAACGAGTTAGCGTTCATTGACATTAAACGATGTACAGTATTTTATGATACAGTCAATGGTTCTCTTGTTTCGGTTTTAATACCTATTTAAAGACAGAATTTCTAATAAAATATCACGTTTCATTGCAACTGCACGACTATTTGAAGATAGGACGAAACATATAATCGGGACGCTTTGATCAGCATGTAGCTGCAGCACATAAATTTTATCGAAATGTACAAATTGATAATTACAAGCAGCACATACTGCTTTCTCTATAGAGTTTCTCGTCTATCATGAAAATATTTCTTAATCTAACTCGAAGTTCTGACATGACGATTAGAAATGAAATCGTTACATCCCGGTAATTTTATAATTAAAGTGTAATTGAAATGAAAAATGAGCGAGAGTCTGGATTTTGAGCACCGGTACATTTGCAATTACTACCGTTCTCCATAGTTGGACAGCATATTTCAACTATTAGATCACTCCATAAGTAACGCGGTTTTCCCTCAAGAGATAACGCAATGGAATTTTATTATCAGAGAATTAAAATCTAATATAGCGGAGCGAAATGTAGTTAGAATTAAAATAGGAAATTAAATGGAAGCATCATGGAGAAGTAAGAAATTCATTGTCGATTAATTTCTACTAGTTTTGCCTAGTCAGATTCGATCCAAGTTGACTTTGTTACGAGGCAGGATTCGTGTGTGCGACTTATAAAATTCGCCAGAGGTCAACGATTCGACGTTTCGGGCAACTGCGCGAGAATAAACGCCACTCACATAATATTTCGGGGAAACGTCACGTACCGATGCCTTTTCCTGCGAACCGACGAACAGACCGGCATTAAAAGTAAAGTCGTTAAAAAGCTCGGCCGTTGCACCTCCTTCTCTCTCGTTTCTACCCTCCCTCCGCGTTACCGGTTTCGATTTTTTATTTTCCGAATTAGTGAGAATCGTGAACACCCATGCCGACGAATAAAGCGTCATTTTCTTGCGACCGATCGTAAAACCGACGAGCACGTTCGCGCCGATCCAAATCGAAACGACTTCGATCGGTGAAGAAGGAAATTCGAGCTGACATTCTCATGTTCTGTTTCGATTTGACGGCATGCTCTATCAATACCGTATCTTTCTCTCCTTGGAATTTCAAATTCGAAAGGATTCGAGAAGATTTGAACGACTGAAATAAATATGGCGAGTCAATAATAATTTCTTACTAATATTTCGTTAGTTTCAATTTCAGTTACTGGAGAGGGAGCAACTTTTTTAGACCCGTCTGGATTCTTTTATAAAGTGTCAATTTCATCTAATAATTGATATTTTCGAGATGTCTAATAGGATACAGAATTACTTATTTAATTTTACTAATTAAAATATTATTATTTAGATACCATCGTTTAAAACGAAGTAACAAATCGGGTAACAAAGGGAACGAGAATTTTATTTGAACAATTATTTAAATAAAATTCCTCCGTCCTCGGAAATTTCTAAAGGAATTCCCTTTTATTCTACAAATAAATCGGAATTTATTGATCTAAAAATTCGGTTCCTATATTCTATCCAACAAAGGCTTCTCGCGTTTTATTGTGCCGAAGAACGAAAGTTGGAAAGATCAATCGGAAATCTGCCCCTCCCTCAAAACTGACCTATTTTGCTTTCTAACTTTAGATGAACCTATGTTTGTGCCCTGTGAATGATTTAGTGGGCGATGGCCCTTCGTTGTCGAACGCGTGCTACTCTCTCCACGACCCTTGAGATTTTTGATCCCCTTTAAACACCGCAAACTTAATCGCTTTCATTCCTTCGCGTCGGATGAGCGACTCTCTTTGATGTAGCCGCAACGTGGCGAATCAGTAGGCCACGATATAACGTGATATTTGTATGAGAAAAAAAAGAAGGGTTCCTTGACTTCATTCTGTGCTATTTTTTTATTCATGCAACGACACGTGGGATTTCTCGTCATATCTCTAACTGAATATTGCAACGCCTTTTTTTTTATTATATCTCGACGCCTCAAATGAGTTGCCGTCTGTAATTTGTGTTAAATTGCTAAAATTTCGGGTATTTATTGTGATTTTACTTAGTATTTTTTACTCTTTTTGATAGAAGTAAATCGAATTAAAAATTTTATGAATTATTATAACTTTCGATACTTAATAATAATCCAAGGAATAGAAGGAAATGAAAAAGCCAAAAGAAGCCACAGTTCCCTCACTTACTAACAATTGCAACCATCTTCCAATCCCCTGCGACGACCAAATAATCCATTGCAAAAAAGTAGCAAAAAATGAATGGAACAATAGATGGAAAACATCTAAAAGCACCCAACTACACAAAAGTATCCAAGACTTTCACCAGCAAACACCAAATTTTAACAACAAGAAAAAAGAAATAATTATCACACGCCTAAGAACCGGTCATACCAAGCTGACACATGAACACAAAATCAAAAAAACTACACCACCCACCTGCATTCATTGGTTGCAATAACCACCCATTAACAATAATCCACGTACTGCACGAATGCCACACCATAGAAACCCAAAGACAGAAATATGGAATCAATGCAAACATAAACCTGACTTCTCAAAACATACAAAGAGTATTAAAATATCTCAAAAACATAAACTGCTACAATGGCACCGTCGTCGCTATCGATGTGACATTAAAGAAAAATAGAAGAAGAAGAATAACGCAGTTAGGAGCAAAGAAGAAACTAATGATGAAGAGAGGAATATTTAATCAGAAAGGAGACAATTAGATCTAGATCTATGAATTTTTTAAAGTATTGGTAATTAATCAATATAATCAATATAATACTGTATACAGCATTGAAAACTCAACTGTATACATACGATATCTTTAAAATATTCAAGAGACCAACGAAAAACACGTACTTAATTCTCAGCAGCAAATAAAAAGAACAATTTTCTGATTGATTAATAAAATAAAATTTTTTAATTGTTTTTCCACGGCTCCCGTATTAAAAATTTGAAGTTCAACTTTTTCTATACTAAAAACGAAAGAGAGAAACCAAGCAATAATCGTATCGCCTTCAGTGGTAACTGTGGGGAGCAACGATGTTTAATTAAATTCGTTTCACGCTGTACATCTGCCAGTCTTATTTTTATCATTTCTTGCGCGACCTCCTCGAGAGCCACTCCAGAAGCTCGGTTTACTTAGGATCGCCCCTTAATCGCTGTTTGTATTTATACTGTCTCCGAGTTCACGTTTGAATTTAATGAATCTCTGACACCGGAAGACACGTCGATTCACTGCTGGATAGAAACTCGTGACCTCGCGGGGGAACAAGATCGCCTCAAACTTGTTCCACCATCGAACATCTGTCGTTGCTCTAAAAAAAAAAAAAAAAAAAAAAAAAACACGTGGCACTGTACTCTTGTCTTTCTCTTTTCTATCAAGTGTCTGGTATTAGAATGTCGAAAGTGTTTAGTTTTGCTAATTAATAACAGCATCGAAATTTTCGAATTTTGGAATTTCAGATTTTTAAAATTTCAGAATCTTAGAATCCCAAGGGATTTTGGGATTTTGGAGTTTTAGAATCTTACGATTCTGTATTCTATAAAAGTTTAGAATTTTAAGTATTCGAACACTTCAGAACACTTTGAATTTCGAAAGTATTAGAATTTGAGAATTTTAACTTAGGATCTAAAGTCCCTTCAAATTTCTTAGAATTTAAAGGTTTCTTTAAATTTTGCACATTGATCGAAATAACACTCGAGTGATTTGCAAATGAAATGTTGCATGAAACGTGACGTTAGATGCCCTTAATGGGTTAATAGATCGCGGTTTGAATTAACCATTCAAAGTTCGAAGGAGGACGGGACTGTAGATAAGACTGATCAGACCACTTGCATGTAGGTTGACTGTAGTTCGACAGCCTCTCTTACTTCTTTTTTCCATTTTAATCGTTGCGTTCATTGTTGTGGCTTGCCACGCCTTTGTTGAATGCAGTAGGGCCCCATTGTCTCGACGTGAGTCCCCTTGCTGAATTAATTTTCGATGTTTAATTCGTCGGAAGGGAGCAGGTCGAAGTAGTACGCCTCTAAACTAGGTGGAACGAAATTCTACTCGATCGAGTGGCAAGGTTTCTGATCGAATTAACACGTTCGCTGCCATCGGTGACATGCGTGACGTTTTAAAATTACCTTACAATCTCGTTTCAAACTTCAAAATAGACGAATACGTTTCGCGAAATTCGGACAAACAAATGAAATCTATGTAGAGATTAATAATTTTAGATTTCATCCAGTGGATATTATAACAAATTCGTAATTTCTCATAAATACACAAAATTGAATGTATTGTAGAAAAATACAAAAAAAACAGAACTCTCGTATATACTTGTAACTGGTTGTATATCCTTTGGTCGTAGCGAACGTGTTGAGGCTCAATAAAATTTCCAGAGGGGACAAATTTAGACGTGAAGTCGGTCTGCTTCGATTTCAGTCTGCTTCAGGTAAATGAAGGCGAAGAATCAGTGAAGAAGAATAAGATTTCCGCGACGTTGGTAAATTTCTTCCTCGCCTCGGGCATCGCGGAATGCGATATCTTTCCTTTTCTCTCGCGTTGTGGCCGTGGACAAGAGGCTCGAACCATTAGTCATCCAGCAATGGGTCCTCTGTCCGGCAGCTCGTTATCAGAAAGGCGCAAGTCGACGGCCAGTGCGAACTCCACACTCGTAAATTCAAATCACACGTTTCCGGCCCGCGGTCGTGTGCTTTACGAGCATTCTTTATTTCCAAGGGGCAGTCAGGATCTTTAATCCCATGCTTTTACATAATATCTCTATGAAAAAATACGAGCCCTCCTCATCTTCGCGTGTTTACTCTTTCGCCTCTTTTTTGAACCTCTTTATCACGAAAAATTATTAA